CTTCCTGGTTCAACCAGGGTTGACTTACTGCAGTTGCTTAATTTCTTTGCAGTGAGGGGTTATTACCAACATTTTAGGTGTGCTTACTTATTTTAGAAACCCACACATTGCTCTGTGAGACTGTTCTTAGACACAGCAGTGCTTTTACCTAAATGTATGCTGCTATTTACTAATTAGTATCGAAACAAAGTACAGCTGACTTTGGTTTTGCAAGTATTTGGTCATAAATCAAAATATTGGACAAATGCAATTATTTACGGAACACTATACATTTCCGAACATGTTGAAATATAACAAGGCATGCAACAGGATAATCCACCTTTTCTTTATCAGACATCACAGAGTGCTTGGCTCAAGACAAAGTAATAACTCTAAATAACTCTAAATAAAGCCAAATAAGTGCACTGTGCAGTTTCATCATTCATTTTAAAAGGTATTCAACCAGGAATGTGTGCATTGAATGGTCATTGCAGTGCTTTCCCAGTGGACACTGCTTTGTGTTACAGCAAATGTTGAAATAAGTTACATTTTTTGCTAGATGATATGTCCTAATAGCTTAATGTTTGCTGCACACATAACCTCAGTGTTGACAGTTCAGTTCAGCCAAGGACCTGTGTTGCACGTCATAGTCCTCTCTCTCTTGCTCTATGTCTTGTCCTTCTCTACACTGCTGTATATCTCATGAAAGCTAAAATGCCCAAAAAAATCATCTTAAAATCAAAACTCTTGCTGGATGACCTTGTATTTTTCCTCAGGAGCCCTTTGCATTGGGACCTCCAAGTGCCAACTCAGTTGGTTCATTGAAATTGATGAGGGGTATGTTCACCTCCAAATAAAGTGGTTTAAATGATACAGCTAAACTATTTTCATCATCTGTTGTAGTGATGTCTCAGTGATGTTTCAGATACTTGCAGTTTCTTTAATTGGTTCTATGTTATCGTAACTGATGGAAATACAACAAGACTAGGTCAAAGCCTAGTATTTGGTCTACCATGTAAAACAGGAAGTGGCGACATTCACTCAGTCACAGACTTTGCCAAGCTGTTGTAGTCCAACCTAAAACATCATAGAAATTGGCTACATCTTAAAACAAAGAACAGTACACTTAGACACTTTCATACAGCAGAAGGGACCTGCTTTCTCTGGAGCTGTACCCACTGATCATTTAGCACAACCCTCCCCTCTTCAGCTCAAGAGGGGAGTGCAGCCATCGCCACTATTGGAGCCAAGTTCCACTGATAACAATAGTTTGTTGAATGTCCCATTGGCACCAATTAATTTGCCAAACCAATTAACTGATCGACCTCTTGATAAAGGTTGTTACTAAGGTTGCAGTACTTGTTCCAGCTTTGCAACACATAATTTTCAATAATGTTTCTCATGATTTTTTAAGTCTTGTGTCATTCAGACATTAGCTGTTCCTCAGACAGATTGATGAGGTGGTCCTCTCTTTCCTCTGTCCAAAACAGCCATTTTGACTGCGACTGGACTAGTTAGCCAGCTAGCTTGCTAATTCCACCATGCTTTTACGATAACCTTACAGCTGTTACAGAAAATGAGCCGAACAAAGTTGTCACTCATCCGACAATAGCAATGTGCTTCCTTTTGCGGATGAAGCATGACGTCGCTTAATTTTACTCATGTAGTGGCTGGCTAGTTAGTTAGCTAGCTAACTTGCTAACCATGCTATCATGCTAAATTGGATACAGAAATGAGGAATACAATAAGTATACAGTCAGGTCCATAATTATTTGGACAATGATACAGTTGTCATCATTTTGGCTCTGTACACCACCACAATGGGTTTTAAAAGAAACAATGAATACCTGCTTAAAGTGCAGACTCTCAGCTTTCATTTAAGGCTTTTTTCAAAAATGTAGTATGAACCGTGTAGGAATTACAACCATTTCTTCACACGGTCCCCCGACTTTAAGGGCTCATAAGTATGTGGACAAACTAACATAATCATCAATTAAACAGCCAGTTTCAATACTTTGTTGCAAATCCTTTACAGTCAATGACTGCCTGAAGTGTTGGACACATAGGCATCATCAGATGCTGGGTTTCTTCCCTGGTGATGCTCTGCCAGCCCTTTACTGCAGCCGTCTGCACTTCCTGCTTGTGTTTTGGGTGTTTTGCCCTCAGTTTTGGCTTCAGCAAGAGAAACGCATGCTCAGTTGGATTCAGGGCAGATGATATGACTTGGCCATTGCAGAACATTCCACTTCTTTGCCTTAAAAATGTCTTTGGTTGCTTTTGCAGTATGCTTCAGGTCAATGTCCATCTGCACTGTGAAGCATAGTCCAATGAGTTTTGAAGCATTTAGTTGAATCTGAGCAGATAATGTAGCCCCAAACACTTCAGCTTTCATCCTGCTGCTCTTGTAAGCAAGACAAGACTTCACTAGAATAAAGGGGGGAGAATAAAGAGGGTTTATCACAGGATGCAAACCATTGGTTAGCCTTAAAAATGGAAGGCCAGATTGGAGTTTGTCAAAAACCATCTAAAAAGCCTGTACAGTTGTGGAACAGCATACTATGGACAGATAAAACAAAAATCAACTACCAGAATGATGGGAAGACAAGAGAAGGAAGAAGGGAAGGAACTGCTCATGATCCAAAGCACACCACCTCATCAGTGAAGCATGGTGGAGGTACTGTTATGTCATGGCCATGTATGGCTGCCAGTGGAACTGGTTCTCTTGTATTTATTGATGATGTGACTGCTGAGAAGAGCAGCAGGATGAAAGCTGGAGTGTTTGGGGCTACATTATCTGCTCAGATTCAACCAAATGCTTCAAAACTCATTGGACTATGCTTCACAGTGCAGATGGACATTGACCTGAAGCATACTGCAAAAGCAACCAAAGACATTTTTAAGGCAAAGAAGTGGAATGTTCTGGAACGGCCAAGTCATATCATCTGCCCTGAATCCAATTGAGCATGCGTTTCTCTTGCTGAAGCCAAAACTGAGGGCAAAACACCCAAAACACAAGCAGGAAGTGCAGACGGCTACAGTAAAGGGCTGGCAGAGCATCACCAGGGAAGAAACCCAGCATCCAGCACCCAGATGATGCCTATGTGTCCAACACTTCAGGCAGTCATTGACTGTAAAGGATTTGCAACCAAGTATTAAAACTGACTGTTTAATTGATGATTATGTTAGTTTGTCCAAATACTTATGAGCCCTTAAAGTCGGGGGACTGTGTGAAGAAATGGTTGTCATTCCTACACGGTTCATACTACATTTTTGAAAAAAAGCCTTAAATGAAAGCTGAGAGTCTGCACTTTAAGCAGGTATTCATTGTTTCATTTAAAACCCATTGTGGTGGTGTACAGAGCCAAAATGACGACAACTGTATCATTGTCCAAATAATTATGGACCTGACTGTATATTATAGAACTTTCAGTGTCCAGGATGGATGTATTGAGAGACGTGGATACAACATTGAATGCAGGGCCCAGTTCATTCCTATGAAAGTTGCTCCGGGGTGCATGAAGCCAAAATGGTTCAACTGCTGCATATGAAATTACCCAGATGACCAGCACTACTTCTGCACTGTGAAGCCCATAGAGTAAGCGCACTAGAGACTAACAGCAGCGGAGCGCAGTCCAGTGGTTAAATTCCACCAGCCAAATGGCTAACTTCAGGTTTAGCGCTCCACTAACTTGCATGGGGATAAAATCATTTAATCATGTGGCTCTTCCAGACTTTTGAAATTTTATCAGACCAAATGGTTGAAATTTTTATAGTAAAATGAAACATTTGGCTGGGGTTGTGACACTTAAAAATAATTATCATCTGATTTCCAACATCTCTTTCATTATATAAGTCAATGGTAAGAGGCCTTTTTGGGCCTCAGGGCATCATGTTACATTGTAATTACAATTTGACTACTATGACATTTGGCCTCAACTCCTGGCACACTTGCTTGGGGCCTGGCGTCCACAGCTCTGTCATGGCATCGCCTATTCATTACAAAAGAGTGATGGTCAGTGGGGAAAAACCAACACTTTCGTCATCAGTCACTCGGACCAAGGATGTAACTTCATCACTCACTCACTCACTCATTCACTCATGGACAGACTGTTGTGTTTGTAGGGCTGGCCTCGCATCCTGTTTACCAGCCGAAAAAAAGACCTGAGTTGTAATAAACTAGAATTGTTCTTTTACATGGAGGCTCTCTCTAACTGCAGATTGTGTTTAGGGCAACATTAATCTGCTCCTACATCATTAAGCATTCCTCTTCATTCTCGACCTGTTAGCTTTCAGTCATTGTGTAGCATACTGTACATTAAAGCTACTGCTCCCACAACAAATATAAATCACTCCTCTTTCAAAGACGGAAATCTTAACAAATCAGATGTCTGATCGGTGATGACTGATGTGAGCTTACAAAGCTTTGTTGAGGCATTGATCTCCTCTATCATGATCCCGCCTGCCCTTTTTTCTCTGAAAACCAGCTGCTGCTGCCACCATCCGCTGGCAAGACCTGTTTGCTGTGAGCTGCTTTTAATGAGCTCACTCCAACTTGCCAGCAAATTGCAATGACTTTTTCACCTGTGCTGGAACAAAGTCCTGCAGCATGGCTGTGTAGCAATAACTTTAACTCGAGGAGCAAGAGTCCACAAGAGTTTTTCATGTAGCAGCAGCAGCTCAAAGCAAGATATTAGGCACAAATAATGGCTTTGAGAATAAATAAAAAATGTTAGCGTCTACAATCTTAGTGCTTACAGCAAGAAAGATGCTGCCATGTTGAAACACTAGGCACAATGTGACTGTGTGACTGATCTGTTTTTTCGAAGTGAGAAGTTTTTCTGTTTTGTTTTGTTTTTTTTTCATAGATTATGGATCATGTTAGTGAAAGAAAAAAGAAAAAAGTACAGCCTTCATACAGGCTGTATCTTTTCCCTCCAGAACCACTTTCTTTATGTGGTTTTTACAGTGTGTCTCATTCCCTCTCTGTGTGTGTGCCTTTGTGTGTGTCACGGTGTGTTTAGTGTCCAAACACTGGAAGGCTGTGAAATCCTCCTTGGCCCAGAGGTGATGTACGGTCCTCCGGGCTTGGACCTCTTCTGCCCAGTGGCCATGACCATCGCTCACTGCGCCGAGGTGGACACTGAGAACTGGAACATCCAGCTCAAGAGGAAAACCCAGGACAGCAAATGGGAGGTAAGAGCTGCAGGTCCACACCTGTCAAGTGCTATACAGCCCATCAACATCTTAGCTCGCCTCAGACATGGCGCATATATCCTCCATTGTCTTTTTCCTCAATGGCTCCATTGTTGTTGTTTTTTGGAGCTAAATGTCAACAGGAATGAAGGCAGAGTAAACCCACCAAACTTCACTGTTTCCACTGCTTCTGATTGCAGTACACGTCCTGCTGCACCTCAAGACGAGACTTTAAATGATACTGAAGTGCAGATTTGTAGACAAAGTAAACACTAGAAAAGATGAGTCATAGCATCAAAGTTAAAAATATATGCTATTGAGATCCTGCTGTGATGAAGGTAGGAATCAATGCACAGGGTCCATAAATAACGGGAGCTAATCTTTTTTTTTTTTTTTTTTAATACTTGAATCAGTATTTAAACAGAACCTTTTTCCACGTACTGACCTCCTGTCTCACTTTAGATTAGATTCAACGGTAAGATAAGGGAAGTGCAAGTATATTACCACCATACTCCTTTGTTGTTTATATGCCAAAATAGCATTTTTTTCCATGTAGCAGCTCAAGAAAGAAACTAAATCATAAATCAAACAAGTAGGTGCTGACGTGTCCACACATCATAATGATACCTGTATGTTTCCTCTTGACTTTATCCCACATGAGATCTATCTGTGTCTCTATTATCCTATGCAACTACAGTAAATACCTCAACCAGCTGCAGGCTTATGTTGCTGTAAACCTTAAAGCTGCACTAATCAATATTTTTATATTTACAATGGATGAAATCTAGAGTGTGGGACTAAAGAGAATTAATGCCAAACTCTGCAGTTTCCCTCACCTCTAATGAGCCTCTCTCCCATTTTAGCTTGTTCTTTTGGTTCTCTGGCCTGGAAACCTCACCTCATGACAAGGTATGCACGATATATATGGGGCCGATAAATTATCAGCCAATAATGGGAAATTTTTATGACTATGTATTGTTCAGATGATTAAAATTATAGCCAATAAATGGCACCAATGATACAAAGCCAGACTGCTTTCATTGACTTAACAAGGGCAGTATCTACAAATAATGAACAAATAATAATAATAATAATCATAATCATAATGATAATAGTAGTAATAATAATTATAATAATAAATAAACACAGTGGCATCCATTTTGTTGTTAGTTGTTGCCCATTCTCGGAACCCATCGGCTGTATTTGATGTCTGACTTCCAGCAGACGGCGATACACCCTCTGGGGGCAGACCCCCGATTTTTTGGCATTCCAGTTTGATTTGGGCGGAGGAGGCGAATTTCTGTTTCCGACTTCTGTTTATATATAAGTAAATATGCTGAACCATTGTGATGGATTCAGAGTTTGCAGTTACGCCAATTATGTTCCGCCTCATTAGTTCACCTCACGGACCGTTTAACCTGGCAACAACTGCAGCCGGCTCAAACATGATTGGTCAATATCACGAGGACTACAAACAGCCTACAAACGGAAACCAGGGCTCTTCAGCTCTTCTTCCGGAGGCAAGATCTCCGGGGTTTGCCTACAGACTCTACATTCACTGAATGTAGAGTCTGTATATAGAGACTAGTTGTTGCCTAGCAACAGTGTTCATGTAACGTACAACTCTTGAAAGCTAATCATATTATCATGGATGTATTCCTGTGCCGCAAATATGACTTTATCAATTCAATCTGAAGGAAGTAATAGCACCATTAAAATAATGAAAAAAAAATGTACTTAAGGTCCTTGACTTTGACGGTCCATGTTGGCCAGCAATCCGCTAGACTCCTTCTCCTGCGTAAAGATGAAGATGACGTCATTTTCTCCTCCAGTACACTGACTAGGGGGCGCTGTGCCATGCAGCTACTATTATACTGTATGCGGCTATTATAGTAAAAAATACGGCCGCACATGTGTAAATTAACAGTCCCTTTATTCCAAAAGGGAAGTACAGTTAATAAAGCTCCTGGAAGGCAGGAGTGGATGAACCCGGTTAAAGAGTACCCGCCCGGACGGGATGCTCTAAAACTAAAGCGAGCGAGCCCGCTAAGAGGCAGGCATCATTTCATTCATCAACAATAAACCAGGCGTTCTATTAGTTGGGAGATTTTGACAGTGTTGTTACACAAAAAAATTCCGGAAGCAGGAATTCCACGAGCGCACAGAAGCAGCTTGAGCGCGAGGAGAAGAGCTGAAGCTGGAGCAGGAAATCTGTGAAAGCAACATTGTATCTGAGTGCGAGCAACATAGTATCTGAGTGTGAGCAACATGGTATCTGAGTGTGAGCAACATGGTATCTGAGTGCGAGCACACAGTTTGAGCAGAAACAGAGTAGATCTAAGTGCAAGCAGAGGCTATTTGAGTGCGAGGGCAGGGTTTTGAGGGACAATATTACAAAATCTGAACGTGAAATCAATAAATAATGCTCTCAAATTAATATACCACTCTCTTGAATCAAGATAGGAAAAAAACTCCATATACCTGGCAGCCTAGTCTGGATCACGTCTCTTTCTCTCTGGCTGCGTGTGTGGGTGAGACACAACCACTAGTTAGTCGGAGTTGAGTGTTGATGTGTGAGGTGAATCACTATTGCATCGCTGTTCTACTCGGGAGTTGTAGGTTAGTCTATCATGCGACGGTGAGACGGAGCCTGGGTGTGTATAAAAATATGCAGCAGGATAAGCAGCATGCAGTGTAGTTTCTACACTTAACTGATACGCCAGAGAATTACAAAGTAACACTGGGCTAAATATAGAGATTCTAATTAACTGGAGACAACAATGTTTTTACTACGCATAGTGATAAACCCATGGATATAGAAACAACTCATTGCAATCAGTTGAGAAATATAAACTTTATAGTGCTTTTTACGTTGTATTTGGTGCTCACAGTGACACTACTACTGTCCCGTTCTGCTACCAGTTAGGCTCTGCCCACAAAAAACATCATCGCTGTTTACAACAAAAAAAAAGGGTCTATTCCTCCAATCACCATTTTCGCTCTGCTGTTTTCAACATGGTGGCTGGGTTTCTGAAAACATTTCGGTCAGGACCACATTAGTCAAAAAGAACTTTATTTCCATTTGCACTATCATATTTGGCAGTATGGCTCTGTTCTGGGGCCTCTCTGCCTTTCCTAGGCCTACACAGAAAGCCTGAGGTGGAGAGAGTACACCTCTCCGCCCTTCTGCGTGCCTGCACGAAAAGCCTTGAGGCAGAGAGAGCAAACCTCCCTGCCGTTCCATGCGCCTACATGGAAAGCCTAAGGTCAGGAGAGCAGCAGCAAAGACCCCCAGGAACTGAACAGAGCAGCATCAATGACAAACAGAAATTACATTAATAAGTCAGACACAACATAAACAGGAGGAGCTGGGGTGGAGGTGGGTTGCAAAGCAGCTTGCAGAGGAAGCAGCAACAGGAGGCAGGCCAAAGCAGTTTAAATAGGGCGCCCTGAATGAGATTTGCCAATTGATTGCATAAAAAGGAATCATGTGATCTATCAGCTGACTCCTTTTCATCAATCAGCTGATCCATCAGTTAATTAGGCTGTTTGAGATCAGCTGATGTAGCTGGGACATACTGGAACTAAGCTTGAAATAGTGTCCTGCCTGAACTAAGGTTATGATCCATTTTTAGTGAGAAATAGACAATACAGTAACAGAATACTGATTCATATTTGAACGCTGCCGCTTGACAGTTTGACCACAGTTCAGGAGCACTGATTGACATGATTGACAGCTGTGTGCAAGACTGCTAAGCTCTGATTGATTGTTTTTCAACAGCAAGAAAATGCTATTAGAAGCACTACGAGGAGGAGTAACACACTATCTGTCACATGTGTTACTGTGTGAATATAATGACAGTTTCAGCAAATATGACAAAAAGTTATTTTCATAAAAGTAGCTTTGATGCATCTGAGTGCTACTGAGGAAAGTTTACGGTTTTCTCTCTCTGCCAATGCACCAGCTAGTTGTCATTTGACACCACGATAAGTTGTTATTTACCTTGAAGATGATCAGGTCATTCTGTTGTTTCCCTGTATTTTATGTTCCCTTTTTTTTTACTTTTCCATACAGTAACAGATGTCACTCAGTGTAAGACAGTGGGTTTATACATGAACGTTAAAGTCATGTTCCTTGACATAAGATGCCATGGCTTGTTGACCCTGTTATCTCCCTCTGTTTGCTGACCTTTATATATATGTGCTTCATGTGGTAAAAGGTCCTGTTAGTCAGCATGACACATGTCAGGTGAGTTACGTATGAGCCATAAAAACTGTTGGGGCTTTGTGGGTGAGCTCATTGATCCAGCCTTGTGCTCTCTGTGGGTTCAGTGGGTGACATAAGGCCACACAAAGGTATCACAGGCAGTCCAGCAGGAGGAAAATAAAGAAACAATTACAGCATGTAATGGCCAGGAAGAGGTATGGCTGCTGTCAGTCAGTGTGGGAGTAGTGGTGGTGAGTGTTGCAACTGGGGGGGTATAAGGGGCTGCTAGACAAGGGCAGTATCGATTAGTGGATCAGGAAAGACATGGCACGGTGAATTAAGATGTGAGGCATTCAGGAGGAGAGTCATGGAGATTGTTTCTCTGCTGACCAGGACTCTCCATTTGCCTCCTCAACACACACACATATCCACACACACCATCAACACCAAACAGCGCAGCGGTGCAACTCTCACACAATATTTTGCCTTTCTTGTTAGCTTCGCTCTAATGCTTTGGAACAGGACACATTGTATTTTCCAGTTCTTTATGTGTTTGGGTTCCAACAATGTCAGCTTTTTTTTTTTTCTCCCTCCAGTGAGAAAGATTGTTTTTACTGGTCTGGATGAAGTCCCAAGAGCTTAATCCCAAACCCAAAGGCATAACAAGCCCAATCACTGTCGTCACTTTGCATTATTTGCTTGTGTTTTTGAGCAGGAACCAGCGAGATGATAACAAGACAAGAGAAGGGGCAAATAATGAAGAGAATATTCATCCAGGCGGCAATGGAAATGG